TATTTTACAATATTATGTTGTGAAGATTACATAACTATTACAAAATTACGCAATGTTTTAATTTTTTTTCTGCTTTATGTTTTTCTATATAGAAAATTGTAAAAAAGACTGTAATTTGTATGTTTGATTATATGGCAATTTTTCTAAATAATAAAATTGAATGAAGTGGATTATGAAGTGATGAAATCTCGAAATTAACGGTGTTAAGGGTGTTATGTTGTTAAGGTAATTTGTGTAACACTATTTTGGTGCTTAGTACTGCTAAAAGCCCCTAATGCATCTAAAGTAAAACGCCTGTTTTATACTATACTATTCAGATTTGGAATAAGATGTTCTTCCGTTAAATTATAATAAATTAAAACAATAAATTTGGAATAAAATATGTATGTTCTTCTGAATTTTTTGATACCTGACATATGATATTTTGACAAAAAATAAATACAAGTAAACATCTGAGTCCTGGATTTTTGTTTAGTATAGTCGCCCTTTTTACAGGAATCGAAAACATCATTTACATAAATTATAACTTGCCTGAGATACGGCACGGCACGTTTGCCATGAAAGCTATATATATAGCAAAGCTGTAAATGATCACGTAGCGAATTGAGAAAAAAAAAGTGAAACTAGAACTCTAACTACAAAAGCTTTGAAGCTATAATGAATATTCGTCGGAAAGAATTTTTTAAATCTGATTTTTTTAACCCTTCTAAATTAACCGTAGACGTCCGAGTTGCCCCCCCCCCCTGATTTTTTTTTTCTAAAAAAATTTTACGAATCACTTAAGGGCTTTAATACTGGGACACCCTATACAAATTATGTTTTGAGTCATTTCGCTGAAATTCGTACATTTTATAACAGAAATACGACTTTAAGCCAAGGATTGCCGTATATTCCCAAATCATTAAACCATAGAATAATATCGTATATGTATACATATACATACATATAAATAGGGAATCTTATTTTTAAAAAAATATTCTTATAAATTGATATATGTATGTATGTACATCTGTAGCTAATTAATTTCCAAATTTTAATTGATATTGAAAAATCATTATTAAAAATGTCAAAAGTCAGACAGGTAAAATTTAATTAAGAATTTTTAAATATTTTAATTAGACGACTATTTAAATCTGAAATTTTTATATAAATTCTTCAATATTATTGTAATCAGAATTATGATTATAAAGATTTCAATTTTAATTTACCCATATATAGTTCCCGACATGAGGTAAAATCAATCAAAATTGGCCATTTAATGCCGTTTACCTTCATACAAAAACTTACGTACATATGTATTTGTATAAATGTATGTTGTTTAATTAAAGAATCTAATTTTTTCAAATCAAATGTCATCTTTTAAATAAAATACACTTGTGTACTAATAAAAAAATTTAAAATTTTATAATTGTATAAGGCTTATTTAAAATATATGACCCTATACATACAATTATTTTACCAATTCACCGTCATTATATTTATGGCGCTCATTAAATTTCCAATGGATCGTTAATTTCACCTCTATATAATGATTTAAATGTTATTCCGTCGCATAATATACATACACATACACATATGTATATACATATTGTATGAATCTCTTAATTCCCAAAAAAATTTATAATTAATTTATTAAATTTTATTTTTATTACTTTTTTAATCACGTAATCCATCATGTATTTTGACAAAAGTTAATTTTAAAAGTCTGTATAGTTTTTTATTTATTTCCTGAATTTTGGACCGCTATAATTATCTGAACAAAAATCTTCACTATTTTCCATTAATTTTTGCGTTTAATATCGGTAAATTTGTATAGTTTCTTATTAACAGTTAAAAATGTTAGATTTTTTTTTTATTGAAAAAATATCGTAATCACTAATCATGATGACATAAAAATCATTTGTTACTGTTATTGTAGATTTTTCAAACACATAAGCATACATTATATTTTTTTTAAATCAGAAATAAAAAACAAATCAGCAGATTCCTTCTTTATTTCAAAATTATTGCGAAAAATTATTAAACGTTAGAATAAACAAAAAAAAAACTATTTCAGAACATTACATTTAAACTATGTATGTATATATGTATACGGTGCAAATTTAATTTTTATGCAACAAAATAAGAAAAAACTCACCACGTTATTAATAAAATTTTATTATTCGCAACACATTTGTTCTGCCTTCACTATGATAAATTCTGTGTAAAATAATTTCAAGTATGGTTTTTATTAAATTTACCTATTGCAGTTCAAAACCTATCACTTGCAGCTTTTCAAATCCGTGCCTTATATTAAAACACATATTAAATTGATTCTATACATTTACCTATCAAATATTGAAGGCATGATTACAAACAATTTCGTTTTTAACTGGTGTTTACGTACCTTATGTATATATACATACACGGAATTTGACACGGAATTTTATATTTGTATATACATACATATGTAAATATTTTAAATGAACTGTTTTATTGTTTTGTTCATATTTTTTTGATTTGCAATGCAACTTATCGATTTGAAATGTACGGCTTTTTGACTTTCGAACTGATCGAAACTTTGGATTGGATGGCAACATACACTTTTGACATTGTCGTATCAAAAAAGTGAGAACTTTGAATCAAGCAACTTTTACTAAATTTTCGTACTTTCTTTTGATTTTATTTAAAGTTAATTGATTTTTAATTTATTACATAGTTTGAACACCTTAAAATTACAATTTTTTTTGAAACTTAATTAAAATGACAATTACGTAAAATTTCTTAATATAAGTACGTACTCAAATACCCTTAAGTGACAAGACATAAAGTTGTGTATTAGATTTTTTTTATATACGTATTTCAATGACGAATGGCACTTAATTTTTTTTTTACAAAAAAATATTGTATAAAAAAACACAAGTTGATTTATTAAAATCAATTGTACTTTAAAAACTGCGCACCCTCAAGGTATATACAAAATTGTTACAAGATTTTTACTTTAAAAAAATTAAATATATCTAAAATTTTTATAAATGTGCATTTATTACAAATTACTTAATAAAATTTCAACCTCAATTTAAACATAAGTATGCCATCTATAGGCTAGAATGTAATTTTTGTGTTATTTTTTTTTTTCGTATTTTGTTAAAAAATGTTGCAAATTTAAAAACAAACCAACATAATATTGAATTTTAGTATTGCAAGCACGTAAGATTACAAAAGTAAATTATTTACTTTTATAACGCGTAGTCGAGTGTCGAAAAATATTTGTTAAGCTTTTTTTCTTCTTTGCTTTTGAATTAAAATTTTATAATGTTATGGTCTATTTTTAGGTGAAGATCATTCGTTTATTAGTAAAAGTAATCAAATTATTTTAACAAGCATCATTGATTTTTCAAGTCCACGTTTTTTTTAAATTAAATAATGCAATGATACAAAAAAAGTGGGCAGCGGCGGCATTATTTTTACATTTTTATATTTTAATTTTTTACAATTGATTTCAAAATGTTAATATGACATTAATAAATGTTATAATAGTATTTATGAAACAATTCTGGACAATAACGAAAAGAGAATAGTCAAAATTTGTAGTTACGATTTAATCGAATTAAATATTTACAACTAGTTTTGGAAGTACGAGTATTTGAACAACTGTTTTCTTCAAATTTATAGAATTTAAATCAATATTTCAAAAGAATTTAAGCCTGTTATCAGGTTAATATAATTTTTCTAAATCTAAATAACTATTCTTAGAATAGCATGTCGTTGGCAACAAAATAGCAACAAAAATTTGGGTTTATATTTTTAAAAAAAACTTAATTTTTTTAACATTTTAAACCTTAGTTTTTTTTTCCAATTTTCTGTACCGTAAAAAATATTTTTACGTTTGATATAAACAATTCCGTCAAAAAAATTTCTCTAAAACGCAACATATACCTATTATGAAGTTGATAAAGTTTTATTTTTAAATTTGAAAATCACATAAATTTAAGTCGATTTTCCTATTCAGTCTTTTTAGAAACTCAGTAAAGTTACAGTTGACACTAAGAATTTCGAGAGTTTGCAATAAAATAATTAACATGCATTTCGAAATACGGAGAATAAACCCAAATTTTTATGTGTTGAATTCGAAAGTCTACTTTATATGCTACAATCTTATTTTCTCAAAGTTTTTATTCAAAATTAAATTGATTATTTATATGTAGGAAGAATTTAAAAATTTAAATAACAGCACTTTCCGAAAAATCTAAAATTAAAAACAAATATATAAGTACTTCAATATTTTAAATTGTTTTGGAATGGTATTTAAAAAAACTCTAAAATTTCTTAAATAAGATTTGAGTTCTTAAAAATTTTTCCTTTTTGAGAAACAAAAATATTTTCATGTTTTAGGAAACATTTTTTACTGTTAAAAAAATAAAAACCGGAACTTGAAAATCGCACCAATTTTGTAAAGAGTACAATAACCGCTCTTAAACTTAAAAACTTTTTAATTTTGATATTCTCTAATAAATCGTATTTCTATTGATGGTTTTATTTTAAAAAAATGTTAATTTATTTAAAATAGTTAAACAAAATAACAAGTACTTACTGATATGGAAAATTATTTCAACAACTTTTTTATTGCTCTACTTCTCTTAAAATGTCCATTCAAATCTACGATTAAACAAGAATAACTTAAAATGGCCAATCAATTTTTATAGCAGAACAAATAAACAAATAGCGCAGAAAATATTTGAAAATTTTTATGTTTAATACTCGTACTCGTAGTCAGTGAACAAAAAATTGTTTTCTGTTTATTACTGAAAGCTTATTTTTGATTTTAATTAGTTATACTGATCTAATACAGCAATAGTAAAAGGAACTACTATTTAAAATAGATTAAATTTTAAAATGCAATTAAATTTTTAAATATTTTTACCAATATTTTATATACTTGTGCATATTTGTATTTTATATGTTTGTTTATGTGTATTTATTAATATAATTTAAATTAAACTTGAAATTTATATCCACAGAGACGACTGGACGATGCTGAAATAATTGCTATTCGATATTATTAGAAAAAGTGCAGAATAAGAAAACCCATTATGACGAAATATTTCTTAATTTGTTATTTATTTATATTCACTTTCAATGGTTAGTAAAAGAAAAAGCAAAAATACATATTAAGAATAAATCTTAAAAAAAAAATTCAATTTATTGTAGCAACATGGGGACAACAGTATGTAACACAAACAGTATATGGATTTTTAGATTTTACAACAACAATCGGTAACACAGTGATGGTGTTTTCACCACAAAGTTCTGCGCCTGAAAGTAAGTTAATTCAAAATTTTATTCAATATTAGATATGAAAATTAAAAAAAAACAATATATTTAACTTTTTATTCCAAAAAGCTACACCGGCTCCTCCATCAAAGCCCGAAAAAAGTGTTGTAATTAAAACAGAATCTTCAATACCTAATCAAAATCATGTTCCTGAAATAAAACCATCAAAAACAATAACAGTGGTAACACAAGAAAATAAACCAAAACATGTGGTCTCAACCGTTGTACAATCTTTTGAAGTTGCACCTAAAAAAGAACCAAAACCTAAAATATCTGAAAAGAAAAAGTTATCATCAAAAGTGGAAGTTGTTGTTGTAAAAGAAACAAACAAACCAGTACTACCTCAAACTCCAAAAATTGAAATCCATACGCAAATTGAAAGTAATGTTTTAATTGAAGCTGATAGTAGCCCTGCAATTGCTGTTGCTAATGATCTTGTCGAACCAGAATATGATTTTCTATCTAGAGAACCATCAGAATTTGCTGAAGAGACCTACAAAGTTACAAATTTAAAACCATCTCATCGAGCTAAAGATAGCCATGATAAAAAACGTCAACAGAGTCAGTCGAAAGATGTTATTCACCCTACTGGATTAGTTACTAAATTAGGTGGAACAATAGTAAAGGATGGTGCTACAACTGTTCATGAAACTAGTGTTATTGGAACATATATATCTGGAAAATATGCTCAAGTTTTGCAAAGTTCCTCAAAAGTTTTTAAAAAACCCCCACCTAAGCTTTCAACTACTCCTACTCTAAGAATATTGAAGACAGCTGCACCAGCACCTCCGCCTCCAGTAAAATATCGGGCGGAACCAGCGCAACAAGAACATGATGATGAAAATGTCAGTTCGCGTACAAGTCAAAGGCGAACAAGTACATCAGGAAATTTCAAATCTAGGCCCAGAAAACCTGCACGAGATGATCATGAAAATGTAACTACAGTTAATGCTGGCACGGTTCCTCCTCCTTCATCCAAACCTGGTAGGAATCGGCATAAGTCCAAACAGTAAGCATTTTGATTTTTTATTATCCACTTTAGGTTTATTTTCTATGTTTATAGAAAAAAAATCTTAATTAACTTTATTTTAATTACATGTAAATAGCCGCAGAAATAAATCCACGCGAACTTCTCATAAGTCAGCCACAATAGTGGCAGCTTCAGCTGCCTCCGTTGTTCCGGCTGAAAATTCTTATTCAAGACGTGCATTCAAACCAAGAATACAAGCATCCGCTGTTGAACCTTCTCAGCAAGAATCGACAAGCTTATATAAATTCAAATTAAACCGATCTCCTGGCAGGTGGCAATATAAAACATCACCAAAACCGAGAGTTGCAATTAGAAAATCAAACTTGGATGATCCAGTAGAAAACAATGGCAACACAGAGGTTCTTTCAAATGATATACCAATAGGCAATGCCAATACAAGAAATGATGACACTGATTTAGATTCATCAGGATCAATAAATAGTGGTGTTTTAAATGACTTAGATAAAAATGAAAAAAGTGATGGTAAAAGGGAAAAAAAATTACTAATAGAAACTTTGAATGTTGAAATTTCAACGCCAGTGAATTTTAAAGATACCTATTACGAAATAGCCACAATTAAAACTCCATTCACTTTCCAGGTATCTAATTAAAAATATATATGTTATGGTATTTTCTAAATATTACTTTTTAATTTTATTAACTTTTTATTTTAGGTTGGTACTGTGAAAAATACCAGATATATAACAGTAACGTCAACAATGGAAAAAACACTAGATCCTGAACCAACAGCAACAGCAACTCTTACAGAACCTTTAATGGAAAATATTTTAACATCATCGAATCGATATTTAGACCAAAGTTTATTAGAATCAAGCATAATTACACTATCTCCATTGCATTTATCAAATGACGAAGAAACTCCAGCTTTAGAAACCACTATTGAAACATTCAGTACAACACAGGAAATATTAAGAACGCAGATATTGCCCGTAGTTACAAATGAAACAAGAACGTCAACAGTTACTTTGGTTCAAACATATCACATTACAAGATTAACAACAGCAACCAAAACATTAGCACCATTGGAAGTTTATCATAAATACAAGGACTTTAATGGTAAACTTGAAGAAGCTGGTTCGGAAATAAACTTGGAATTAGATTTTGGTGATGATAATGATAATGATGAAGATGCTGGTGCAGTTAAACGTTTACCTCCTGAATTAGATATTGGTATGATTGGTGCTGATTTTGATTTGATTGATGTACGTCAAGGTGAACAACATGAAAGAAGATCAAAACCAGCCCGCCAAACACATAAAAATCAAAATAAAGATCCAATACAAAATAATTTATCACCTGAACAATTACAACAATTAGCTTTATTAAAACTTTTAAATCCAGCTGCTCAAATACCTCAAGTTGTAACGACATCTAAACCAGTTTTAAGATTACAAACACTATATGAATCACATGTGATTCCAATTATCAATGGGCAATCAACTGCATATAGTACAATTTCAAAAGCCATTGGTACTGTTACAAAAACTGAATTAGAATATGGCACATCCACAATTAATCCATTACCGATACCGCCGGTACCACTCAATCCAATAAACCCTATTAATCCGTTATTCCCACAACAACAACCACAATTCCATATAACTAGTGCACCAATGGTAACGCAAACTGTCGTAACACAAACTGAAAGTAAAGTATTAAAACTTACATTTGGCGCCAAAACAGCTTACACAACATTATTCTCTACAAATGTTGTACCAACAGTATTAACAACTTTCGTTACAACAACGATTCCTGTGCAGCCTACTGCAGCTGCATTCCCTGGATATTTTCCAGCTCCATTTGCTCCTTACCCCTATGTGGGCTAAAAAAACTATGAATAAAACAACAAACGCACGGTGTTGAAATGGTAGTTGAAATTAATTTGAAAATAACTTTAATTACAATTTTCTTTATTTTTATTTAATTTAATAGGCATTATGGCAGCGAAATCTTATATTAATATAAGATTGACTTAATGTTTACTTAATTTAATTATATGAAATCTTGCCTTGGTCATCATTAAATCCATTGTATTCTAAATGCAATCGAGAAAATTTAAGTTTTACTGAAAAATTTTACACATACTTATGTATCAAATAAATTATAGCCTTACAGTGAATCCGTAACTTGAAGATGGAAAAAAAAATAAAATGAGCAAAAAAACGATAACAAATTGTTAACCCAGAATCAATTGTTAACCCAGAATCGTTTTTCAACCATGATTTTTGTGCTATAAAAAATAAATAAAATAATTATTTAGAAAATTAAAAAAGTGACAATGGATTTACTTATCTTTTACAAAATTATACTTACACACTAGTAATTTGAAGGATCACAAATATTTAATTTCTTTTTTATTTTTTATTCAAATGTAAATAATTATTGTTAATTCGAAGAAAACATAATATTCATTTATGTATATTATAATATATTATATATATGTATATATAATTAATTATTAAAGCAAAATCCATTTAATCTGTAAAGCATTGAATTCACAAACCATAAATTTATAATTTTTTAAAATATTAGAATCTGGTAGGAAAATTCAGTTTAAACTTTCTAAAATCTTTTAAAACAAAAATTACTTTAAGTTAATTGCAAAATTCTTCTGATAAATTTCTAATAAATTTAATTTTATGTAAACTCATTGATGATTAGACAAAACTATCCATTATTTAGCAGGTTCATATAATGTGCTTTTAGTTAAAATGATGTAAATTCAAAAACATTTTGTCTAATGGCAACACTCTAAAATAAGTACTACCATTATACAAATTTCAATAAATATTCCACTTTCGATAACCCAGTGTTAAAAAAAAATTATTTAAAGAAAAAATTAAATTTTCGGAAATTTTCCGTACTTGTATAGTTTTCTACTATTTGATAGCTCAATTTTCATATTACTCATCCATAAAATTTATAATAAATTACTTTTTATTTTTCGATAATTTTAATTCAAAATCCATTTTATTTTATAATATTGATAAATTAAGCATAATTTATAAAATTAAATATTTTAATTTCTTACATATTGTCTATACGAATATTCTCTCTTGTATCATAATGTTTTCTTATTATACATGATTCTTCATCACTTTTCGTTTAATTTTAAGTAACATAATTAATAAAAAGTAAATGTATAATATTTTAAGATTTTTTTTTACACCAATTTGTATATTTGTATAAATGTATATGTATGGAATATGTATGTAAAAAAATTTAAGAAAAAAACAGATAAAATATATGTGATATATATGTATGTGCAAATATATTATATGTAAATATATGTGTACACTGTATATATATTATAAAAATACTCCAAAATTCGTTGTTTTATTAATTACTCACGTTTATTTTACAACCATATTGTTAGCATATTTCTAACAAAGTTGGAAGAATATGTGAACGTCCGACGAGCTTTCGAAATGAGGTGGAAGAACTGTCAGGTTTGAAATTTTCCACACCATTTAAGACATAGAGTTAAAATTTTTGTAAGCAAATACACATGTAGGTCTACTTTTCAGAATAAAAAAGTTTTCCTAGCTCTCGCGTTAATACTTGTGGCTTATTAATAATTTAGAAAATTTGTTGTGTTAAAATCAACTTGCTCTAAAAGAAAAACGACTTGTTGGTTATGGTTCTATCGCGAAGAAAGCAATCTAAAAGATCGCGGTTGATATTAATTTTTATATATTTTAAACCTATTTTTTGATATTGGCCTCTGTCATTATTATCACGAAAAGTGAATGAAAGGCAAAAACTACTTTTCCCCAAAAAAAAATTAGTGGATGATACACAGCTGTATCACCATTGTTTATACAGTTTATGCTATACAGAAGACAATTTTTGTTATTACACAATAGAACTACTATTTTTGAGTAACGCTGTTTTAAATTTAAAAACTTAATACTCACTATAAACCCCTTATAATGTTTCACAATATGCTAAACCTTAATACACTACAACTCAAAATTTTGCAAATATTTTAAAGGATTCATATAACACTCTTAGTAATGAAACTTTTAGAATTTTTTTTCTTATTTCCATGATTAAACTAATAGACCTTTTCATAAAAGTAGTATATTACGATATATAATGAAAAATGTGCTTAATTTTTTTCATAAACAAAGGTTATGCGAATTTAATTTGTTTCTAGTTATTATTAAATTTTCGCAATATTGCAGAATAAGTATGACTAGCACAGTTGAATCATATGAACCGTTTTAATTTTGTTGAATAGTCATAAGTATTTGAACGCTCATGACTTTATTTTTTTGCAATTTTGGGTTTATAAAAATTTCTTAGATTATTAATTTTCTTTCACAAAATAAAACAAAACTTTTACGTAATAAAAAAATACCAATTATATAATTTTATTTTTAAGAATATCAAATAATTTTTAATTTTTCGAAATAAAATATGTATGCATTTATAATTTTTGTTTCTTAATCTTAATTTTTTATAGAAAAGTAAATTTTATACCTTAAAAAGGTATTTTTCAAATTTTATTTAAAATTTATTTTTTTTTTGTTTTCAATTTATTTTTGCTTTTTTAATTTTAAAATTATATTTTTGTTTTATTGAATTAACGCGCCACAAAGCGCTGTCACAATTTTTTTAATACAAATAATTTAATGACAGCTGTCAATTTTGTTTATATATATTTTTTTCCTTTTTTTTTAATAAATTTCATTTTTTTTATATATATTATTAGCTCATAGCTTTATTCGTTAGACGCGTATTTCATTTTTAATTTTTTTTTGTATTTTTTTTTAATTTTTTTTTAATTATTTAATATTATTAAAATAATTTTATTTATAAGTATAAACCATTAAATACGATTAAAATACTATATTAGTATATAAGTATAATTAGAATCTCTAAGCTCTCACAAATTATCAAAGAAAAAATAAAAACAATAAAACTGAGTTAAAATAAAATGTAGCGCTCATTTGAAATAGTAAAAATTGAACAAAGATTAAAAAAAATAAAACCATATGTTAATCGCAAATAGATTCAATTTCATTTCAAAAATTAACTGAACCGTTTTATTTAATAATTATTTTTGGAATTATTGTATTAAATGTTAATTAATTTTGCATTTAAACCATAAAAACATGAAAATTAAAGTAAAAAATTATTTAATTGTATTTAATTAATTATTTAATAGAAATCCGGATGATATTTTATTGCTCAGTTTTATTTTTATTTAATATATAAAAAAAAATTATTATATAAGTTTGATTTTATCATCCTTATTCTTAATATATATAGCTTTCATATATATATATAAAAAAAAATAATAATTTTGCTATTAGGAAAATTTTTTTTTTTTATAACTTCACACATTATAATATTTGTATATAAATTTTATTTTAAAAATGTTGTACGCAAATTTGTACTTTCTTAGTTATAATTTATAAATTATTGCTATAAAAATTGATTTATTTGATAATATATCAAACTTTATGTATTTTGTTATAAAAAAAATAATTGTTAAAATAATACTTTGAATCTTTTAAAATATTGTAAAAAAATTTTTAAATAAAATTTATTTTGGTGTAGTTTCTGACAAATACTTTGTCAATTAAATTGACATTTAATCTAAAATTCATACATCGTTTTATGGCAAACTTTATTACAACCAGCAAAACCGAAATTCATTATAACCAATATTCTGTTAGTCGCATTACCTGACGTCAACGGTTTGTTCAAAAATGTTCTAATTTTCTAAATAAAAACAATTCTAAAATTTTAAATTTTTTACTTTAGCCAAAATAATATCCCATCACTTGAAATGATCCGACTAACAAAATATGGTAAATACATCTTTTCACAATTCTATTTTTTTTAGTTAAATATTTTGTGAAAAATACTTTTCATATTAAAATCAAATTAATAAAGTGTTTTGCTATAATTTTAACGTTATAATATTTGACACTATTATATATTTGAAAATAGTTTTGGAAGTCGCCTTTTGAGAAATAACAATAAGTATTACAAGTATGCTTATCTACAATTTTCTAAAAATATTTTTATTATAGTTGTTAAATGAATGCTTTAAAAGCGTATGACACGAAAATAATAGTAATTAAAAGATTTTTAAAAGTAACTATTCTTTTGTTGCCAAACAAATCAAACAAACCATTTTAGAAATAAAATTAACAAACTCGTATAGTTTCAATTTAAAAAATATTATTTTTAAAAATTAAATTAGTTAATTCTTATAAAATATTGATTTAATATTGTGCATCTTTTTATGTTTATTTTAAGTCAATGGTTCGGTATTTTATGGATACTTGCTATTAATGAAAAATAAGTAAACTTTGCAAAATATTTCCATTACAATTTTGTAGATGTTTTGCATGTAAACAAAAATTTTAATCATTTCAAATACATATAATTTAAAAGTGACCATTATTTTAAAATAAAATTAAATTAAATTTTCACCATTATTTATGAGTTATAAGTTACGCATAGCAAAAACTTATAATTACTATTAGATCTATTTATTTAAAAAAAAATTATTTTAAAAGATTCAAAGCATTTAGTTACTATAAAATATTTGAACACATTATTAGTAGTGTATTTGAAGGTACCTTTTGAAGTAACTATATATTTTATTTTTTTTTTTATTTGTATGTATAAGCTTTTCAGTCTTACGCTCACAGCATAAATAAATCATGCAAATTTTTATATTTTATATCTAATAATTCTATGTTGCCTCATATTCTTAACCTAATGGAAAAAAATATTTTTGTAGGGAAAAAAAATGAACACATTTTAATTGCATGTTTTTTTTATAAAACATGAACGAAACGCTTTTGAGGATTAGAACCCTCCTTTGCGTCAGGGGATAATTCAATCAGAAATGTTATCCGTCCGTCAGGCATTAAAGCAACATTACATGTTCTATCCTTTTCATCTAATGTTGAAGGCATTCGGGGGTTTTGAGATGGACGAACTTCAACCTACGAGTAAAATATAAAAGTTAAAGAAGCATATTTAACAAACGAATAAATTATAAATAAATAATTTTTTACTTACATCCCACTGAAATTCCAAATTTTGATTGAACACAATAATTCTTTGATTTTTAGAATCAGCAACAATAATATTTCCGGTATCATCGCAACATAATCCAGAAGGGCGATTAAATTCTTGATGACCAGATCCTTCTTGGCCCTTAACAGCTAAAATCTAAGACATTAAAAATTTTTATTTTTTTTTATTCTACATATACGACTTTACTAAAATTTAACCTCATTTATATCAGGATCAATCAAGTATAAACAGTGATTATCAAAATCTGAGACTATTATATTTCCTTGAGGCGTATAGCATACACCACGTGGTGATACTATTCCCCGATTTTGTTTAAAATTTTCAAAAACAATTTGCCTTATGAATCGACCTTCGGAATCAAATTGTTGAATTTTATGATTTCTTGAATCAGTGACAACAATTTGTCTACGAGAGTTTACAGCTACATCCCAAGGGTATTGAAATTGGCCGTACTCTTTGCCGCAACTGCCAAATTTTAATAAAAACATTCCAGTTGACGAAAATATTTGTACTCTGTGATTATCTTTATCAACAACAATTATCCGATTGTCAACATCAACACATATCCCAGCTGGCAAATCAAATTCACCATTACCTACGCCTTTCCGACCAAACTTAAACATTAGAGTTCCATCAGAACGGAAAACTTGTACTCGGTTATTTCTTCTGTCAGATATATAAATATTTCCATACTTGTCAATACACAAACCCCATGGACGACTTACTTGGCCATCTTCGTGTCCTTCCAACCCAAATGATAAACTTGGAAGATCATTTTCGCCAAATACCTTTACATGTACTGGAGCCAGAGCACCTGGAATACACTGAGTAATACGTGTTGAACTTAATGTAAAACCATATTGTGATAACTTCGAAGTATGCAAATACCAATCGGATGTTGTGTCAAAATTGGCGCTAGCACCAGCTAAATTTGGAGCTGCTGCAATAGAATCTTGTAATGTGTGCCGCTTAATTAGTACGTCAAGATTTCCAGGAGTTGGTGATTCATAAGGATTAATGCTTGAAGCATTCTCTCCGGCTAACACAACTCTTCCGCACATTTTCATGCTTGTCAATAAATTAAAATCAGGAGGATTAAATACAATCGTTTCTTGTTTTGGCTGCAAATCTTTATATATTGACGCAAACTGTTCCAACTGTCTTTCACCATTTATTATTTTCAATACAATATCAATACTATCCATGTAACTAACTTCGTGCATTAACCTCTGCAATGTGTCAGCTGTTTCAGCTAAACCACTTAGAGCACTTTTCAAACCAGCCATTTGATCATTTAATATATTTAATCGACGGATTTTTAATTTTTCAACCATATCTAAAAGTAATTTTTCTCGATCTTCAAGTGCCAAAGTAAGTTGACGAAATGTTTTACGTACATTATCAGAGACATCACTACTGTTTCGATCCAATAATCGTATAAATGCTAGTGTTTTATCAATACTTCTTCGAATACATTTGTTACCAATACTAATACTTTCTAAAGCATCATTGATTTTCTCATGAGATTTTTCAGCAAATGAACGTATTTGAATTATATTATGATTTTCGTGTTCATTTAATGTGCAACATTGACAAATCAATTTTTTACAAAATTCACAAACAAATTGTAAAACTTTATCATGAACATCACATTTTTTTCGAACTGACGTTGAAATTGAGAATGCAACTTCTGTAAGCGATGGTGTTGTAGATGGTTCTCTTGCTGCAATTACAGAATGATTAGTCGAAAATGGACTGCTTCTATGATTTTTTAAACAATCTGAACACATAAATTCATTACAATCCAAACATTTCAATGATGCTCCGGTATTACACCATCCACAAAATATTGAAGAGTTTCGTGGTGCTTGTATTATTTGTTTTGAAGAAGCTCCAGAACCAACGACACCATATAAATCTAACAGTTCATCGACTTCGTGAAGCATTTTATTTTTAAAAAATTAAATATCTTTGCTTACTTAATTTTGTTGGATATTGAAAAATTCATGAATCTAAAAAAAAGTTTGTTTTAATTAAATAAGTAAAAAAAAATTAAGTATAAATTTTTTTTAAATAATTTCTTTTTGTATTGAAATGAAATGAGCACATGAAAATGTCCAAAACAAAACTTTTTTATATTAAATGTCAATTAAAAAACATCTATTAAGTATTTTTAAAAAAGAATATTTTATATAGCATACTACAAATTTACAAACCATACAGGTTGGTTCATAATTTTTACCACACCATAAACTAATATCATCTTAACAATTTTTCATAAAAACATACCAAAATGGAATTCGTAAATTATATTCAGATTTCAAAATAATTAGGAACAATCTTTGGATTTTAATTTAAAAAAAATACAATATCTTCGAACGAAAATTAATTTTTAATTTCGCCTGAGTTTCGTAAAAATTTAGTATAATAAAAATATATACAAAGTTTTTCTTTAAAAATTATTATAAACAAACGCCTTACTCATTTTATAACATATACGAAAAGGATGATTTAAATTCAAGGAATATAAAATGTACAGGTAGAAAACAAATGTACGTATGTGCAGATGTACAAATGTATGTATATATTAATAAATCAAAGGAAAGCCATTTGGTTGTATTGGTATGCATATACAGTTACATACATATATGTAGTTTCGTGTCTAATGTACGACATTATGAAAAATGTTAAACTACAATTTAAATTAAAAGGGAAATATAAATTTATTTTCAATAAAGAAAATGCTTATTATCTGGTATTTCTTAAGATTACTTCACCATAGTAAACACTTAAAATAATGCTTAATATCCTTTCTCAAAACAAGGCTATCGAATTGAATCGAAGTTTTATAACAAACTTTTTATATTTTCTACATCTAGAATTTTCAAATGTACTATTTTATTTAGTTTCAAATAAATATTTACAATTTTTTTAATGTATAAATTAAAAAATTTATTAAAATAATTATGAAAAATGTAAACGACAAGAAGAAACGTACGAACTAACTACACATACATGCATACATATGCATGCATATCAAAATATGCATGTATCAAATGTACATTTGTATGGCTATGCATGCATACATAACATATAGATTTATATATGTATATGTATCAAATAGTTAAAAAACCATAGTGGTTGATATTTTTTTCTAAATCACGGAAAAAAATATCTGCTCATTAAATTATAAATTAACCAGCGATTATTATTAAAATACATTAGTTAAATATATACATATATCTAAAGATTTTTGTACTAAATATATTGTTTCACAAATATTGTTTTTAAAACATAGATAAGTTGTATACAAATAATTTTATACACACGCATAACATTAGAAATGCGTACAAATTCACAATAGAATACGGCACTGTAACAGAATTATTCATATTCATTCCAAATTTTAAATGAAATTAAAAAATCAGGCAATTTCCAGAGTATTTAAAAACTATCAATTCAAAATTATAGAATTATCAATATAACACTGTACTTACCAAAATAAATATTCAATTGAAAAATACTCAATTGCATTTTACGAAATTTTCCGAACAAATATAAAAACTTTTAATTTAAAAATGGTGGATCGTAAATTATTTTTCAAAAAAAATAAAAAAAAATTTGTGCTATGTTTTTCTTTACTATTTCTTAAATTTTAAAATATTATTTCTAAGAATATATGTATGTATGTATTTTTGTAAATGATAATCTATATTATAAAATTAAACTATATTAAAAAAATTTGTACATATATTGGTATATGTATAAATTTTGCGTTGTTTTTTTAATTAAATATAATGATGCTGCTGCACCAACTATCCCAAAAGATGAATATTAACTGCACTGATAACATTCTCTTGTAAAAGGATCCTGACCTGACAACGTATTCTAGAATATTTTTCAGTTTATAACTGTGGTTGTATTGTATATTACCATATACATTCATAAATGTACATACATAAAATTTTTGTATACACAGATTGTCCTAGTAATATTCTTAAAATTTTCTCTATTTGTGTATATAAAGGTTTACATTATGTAGGATAAAAATGATAATGAAACAAAAAAAAGAAAGCCTACACGGCTTATAATAAAACAACTTTCTTATAAATTATAAAACTACAATTCAAATGAAAAAAGGACAAATATTTTTACAAAATGTATTTACTACTTACAATATGTAAGTATGCACATTTGTAGATACCTCATATATACATTACTAGAGGTAAAAAAAATTAATTTCTACGCATAATGACTTTTAAACTATTACATTTTTAGTTGCGATTTCATTTCATTTTTTAATTTTTAACATTAATGCGATGAATACTATAGAAAAATTTAATAAAATATTAAATTAATATAATATCATTGGCTTGCAATTTCAATAGAGGACATTCAATCAATAAATACAGTGTGCTATTGATTCGGCCATTTTGTCTATATAATATAACATTTATTGAAAATAATTATAAAAATATATCTTTTAATATTTCTTTGTCATAACAAAACAGCATGGTGTTTTCAATTTAAGAAATATAGTACATAAATAGAATGCATATATATACGAGTATATACACAATTTATACACATAATTTTACAAGTTTCAAACCTAAGGACAAAATTTTAACCAACATACCAGACCATGATCTTAGTTTGGAAGCAATGTAACATATGTATATATATACATTATGTATATAAATATCACGCTTCAAAAATAAAAACGAGGACATTCTAAATATAAATATAATTCAACAAAAACCAAGCAGGTAGAATTCACATTTAAAACAATAAAAAATATTTCAGTCAAACTTAGCCGACTGTATAGCCTATGGGCCTATAAAAAATGAAGATATGATTATTAAAACCAGCTGAACAAAATTTGTTAAGGTGCTACTATTCTTTCTGCACTTTTCTATGCAATTGTTTCAATTACTGGTATTAGGCTAAATTAGCAGCCCAATTATAACAGCGGACATCCTTTAAAGAAAAGAAACAATTACTAAAAGGTTTGTGATATTTGGTTTTTCATTCTTTACTTTTATTAGAAACGGAAGAGTCGACAAACAAACCGAAATATCTAAATCAACACAAAATTTCACGTTAAGCAAGAATATATACTCGCATGTATGTATACAAGTATGATTCTTTCATCAATTTCCAGCAAAAAATTGTATGGTTGAGGCGGGTTGTGAGATATACTCGTTCACGTGCTACAGCCTGTTGAAAAACAAAGGAACACATATTCCCTCCATATAATTAAATATACTACTAGATAACGCACATTACTGCATATAGATAGAGTTATCATTGGTAGATTGTTTAAACCTTTCTGGAATATCACTAAGATTATAAAAAGTAAGAAAAAACCCATACCTGCACTCAAAAATGGAAATGACATAATCCTCACAACATTTGACAAATGTGAAACCTTAGCTAGCCATTTTGAACAAAAATTTATGGTTTCAGAAAGTTCTGATAATGTTACGGAAGAAATGGTTAAAAACTCGTTGGATGAATTAGATTCCAATAACGTGGAAACAATAGAATTAATTGATGAGGAAACGGTTCAAAATATTATACAGTCGCTTAAAAAGAAAAAATCTCCAGGAAAAGATCAAATAAACAATCTAAGTATTAAAAACCCTCCAAGAAATGTTATTAGTTATTTGTGTGTTATTTTTAATGCATGCCAAAGACTATCATATTTCCCTTCCATTTGGAAAGAAGCCAAGGTAATTCCAATTCCCAAACCCAACAAAGATTGTGATATTCCTGATAGTTATAGGCCTATTAGTCTCCTCAGTAATATTTCTAAAATATTCGAAAAAATTTTGAAAATAAAACTGCAAAACCACATGGACAGCATAAATCTTATTCCTAACGAACAATTTGGTTTTCGTTCAGGTCACAATACCCAACATCCGCTTTTTAGGATTAAAAGATACATAAAAAGTAATTTGTCAAGAAAAAACTCAATAGGTATGATGGCTTTGGATGTGAACGCTGCATTTGACAAAGTATGGCATGCAGGTCTTATTCACAAAATGGTTAGAGCTAATTTCCCCTTATATCTAACTAAAATTGTTCAAAGTTTTATTAAAAAACGTACTTTTCATGTTTTTATAAACTCCACTCACTCAAATTTACATCACATTTCGGCAGGTGTACCCCAGGGCTCCGTCTTGGGACCCCTCTTATACAATGTTTACACCGCAGACATCCCAAGGTTAGGTAACTGTTTGCTTTCCATATTTGCAGACGATACAGCAATTTATTCAGCGCATAAAAACTGTACAAATATTGTAATTAATCTTCAAGTGGCAATAGATAAACTTATGGAATATTTTACTAAATGGAAAATTACTGTAAATGTCAACAAAACAGTTGCTATATTCTTTACAAAAAGGAGAAAAGAATGTTTTTTACCCGCGGATGAAATTCAAATAAACGGAATAAAAATTCCTTGGTCCGACTGTATTAAATACTTAGGTATAACTTTTGATAAAAAACTAACTTTTAAATCCCATATTTCACTAGTAATAGATAAAATAAATAAAATAACTAGTATACTATATCCATTCATAAATAGATATTCTCAACTTAATATAGAAAATAAGCTACTTATCTTTAAATCAATTTTCATTCCGATTATGTTATATGGTGCGGCGATATGGCAAGACTGTGCAAAAACACACAAAAACAAATTGCAAATTTCTCAAAATAAATTGCTAAAAATGATTTTTAATTTACCGTTCTATTTCTCAACTCAAAAACTTCACATGAAAGCAGGTATCGATTACATTAATAATAAGATTACAAGCATATATAATAAATTTTGTGAAAAGAACATGCATTCTACAAACCCAATAATTCAAACACTCACTTAAAAATTCATTTAATATTAATATGTAGGTACATATTATGTAACTATACAAAAAAAAAAAAA